TTACCATTTTTCGTAAGTATCTGCTAGCAAAAAAATAAAAACGGGTGTATAACAAACCTTTCCCTGAAAAAATGCTTCTACTAAGCATGTACGATAAAGCAGATAAGGTTTAATACTACCCCCAAAATATAAAGCCAGGGTGTATCAAGAGTGACGTAGTCAGTTCTTTGGGAATTTCTTATCGTTTATCCATAATTATAATGGGAAATCTGGGCCGCCACGCCGTCAAATGACATGCGTTATTCGGGTTGCGTTGGGTCTGTGTGAATCATCATAAACCTAGTGAATGGGCACACACTTCATCACCCCATTTGTGTTTGGTCATAACTTATGACTGTTCAAAAATGGCAGAATATACAGTACGTGTAATGCATTTGCGGATAAACTTACTCTGGCCAGGCTTTCGGTTTTGGGTAGTCGACGGGGCACAGTTGGAAAACATCTGATTATAACTCCTTCTGGTAAGTTCAGTATTTTCGGACAAATTTCTGAGCATCGTCGGACTTTTGACACTGAGGCCTTGGCGTGAAGGATGATATTCCGATGCAGGGTGTCGGCCTGCAATATTCTGTGTCAAAACGGCTGCTTTCCCTGCCGTAACCCTGCTATGGAGCACACGGCGGACATAGTCCGCAACGACGGTCAAACTGTCTTAATAATGGAAACAACTTCTCATCGTGTATTTCTGACTATCGGTTTTATGAATTGTTGCTTTTCCTGACTATCACAAATGTACTATGAATAACCATCGAGGCACCCATTCAAGCGACTGTATATCTCGCCTAATGCCAAACAGCCGCATGACTTGAAATTATCTGATTCATCGAGAGGGAATGTCGGGGACGGTGCGTTCGATTGCCAGCATCCCATTTTACACACACGTCTCATTTTGTGTTTTCTTTTTGTTGTTCCAGTCTGCTCCATTGACTCACTTTTCCTAGAGTCCTATTATCCAAGACCATTTGCGAGGAGCCTTTCCCCTTTAAGTGCTGCATAAGTGGGCATGGGAATATGATGTGGTTTTAAACCCCTCCGTCTTGAATCAATTGTTGGTGATCGGATTCCTTCGTGTCAGTAAAAAGTTTCCTCATACTTTGGCCGTGTCATATAGCGTGCTTTTATCGCTCAGTATATGAGAAAATCTAGTCAGTCTCAGCAAAGTTTTACGTATAAAGATCTTGTGTTCAGCACTATAACTCTATGCCATGCCGCGTGCTGTTAGGTAGTCAAATAAAAATGCGTTTTTTAGTTCGTGTTCACTTTCGACTGAATTTCTGAGTGACCGAGCGTGAAAATGAGTGAGCGCTCTGCTGACTACTGTTTTATGACCTTTTGGCCCTGTTCTTGCTGTCACTGTCTACCCTTTTGATTTATTCGTGTACGAGTCGGAAGGTAAGTTTTGTTTTTCAAATGATCTCATTCAGAATCTAGATAGCTTTTCTGATATTCAAAATTCAACAGTCATCACTGCCCTTCTTAATTTCTTCAAAAATTACTGAACGAACTTGAAAATCCCTTGGAACGAGGTCTTTTAGGCTGGCTCCGAAAGTCCATATGAACATTTTGTTTGAAATCCACCGGTTACTACAGAGTGTCTGTGTAATATTTGCACACTACCAGCGCCAGACGGTAGTATACAAATACTGAATGGTTACCATACTAACAAAACAGGTACTAGCTATTACCTATGCTGTCAGTATGCAAATCGTTCAGTATAGTCATCGTTATCGTATGTCTCGATGCTACACTTTCAGGGAAACAGATATCATAGTTGTCATCTGTTGAAACTGTACCTGACAACTCAGTCCAAGGTGGTTTACTTTTGACTGCTTCAAGCGCCCTGCAAGGACACAGTAGCCGATGGAAAGAAGCCTCCCGCGCCACAAAAGAACTTCGGTCAGTGTTACAGAAAGACACGGAACGGACTGAGGTGGCCAGCCATACTCGAACTCCAAGTGGGGCACCTGAGATGGAAATGCGTGCCCAGCGGATTACTGAACGCTTGAATCAGGCCTCTAACCACCTCAGTGCGGACGCACGTCTTGTACGCCGCTCACTGACCTTCCTTGATATGTAGGACGGCAACGTCTATTTTCGTTCTGCTTTTGACCTGCGGGTGTGGAGCCCGTGAAGGAACGGTAGCCACCGGGTCGCCTGTCTTGAGTAGTTTTTATGGGTCAAATCTTCTTTCGCAGCCGTACCTACAGTAGGCAAGCCCCAGCCTAACCCTCAACCCCTATCCCCCAACAGGTACGGCTACGAAATATGATCTTGCCTTGCGGTTTTCCCTTGCCATCCATTTTATATATGACGGTCCTCCTGTTAGTTAAAGCATTTCACTTCAAGACCCGTTTTACCTTAATCATCGACTTCAGTATAGTCAGGGTTTTATAGTAGTCGTCATCCTAGTGGTCTCAATAAAGGAGAGGAGAGTCTTCTTTATGATCAAATACCTCATGTTCTTCTTTCTCTCGTTTTTTCTCCGTTATACCCAGAGTACCTCAAACTTGTCTTGTCGTTATAAGCAGGGGCCTTTCGGGAAACAAAGTAACAGATTAAAGTTCTCAGGGATCTCATACCAATAGGAAATGCGCTAAAGCGCATATCTAGAGATATGTACAAAGCTGCACAAACCCGTTTTATGACTATTCGTTCATTGCGACAACCATAACTTGGCGTCGTCTTTCAACAGTGAACTAGTTTTGCTCATTTCAGACCCGTATAGGCACAGGTATAAAGTGATGGGTGGGATGTCCGGCGAAACAGCCCAAACACTGCGTCTTGCCTTTCGTCTATCTTTTCTGACCGACCGCTCCCTTATTTCCTCCGGTTCTTTGCATGGAATATCGCCGATCTGCCTGTGCATCGCATTTTATTCGCACGGTCCTAAGTGAACTTCGCCGGTAATTGAAGGACATGTTTACTCTACAACTCCGGTACTGGGTTCTTTTAGTTCTCAGCAGCTCACGTCGTCAGTTGCTCCTTTCCTCGTGCTACTGGTCTGCTTGCACCTGAACCTGAGTCATTTTATTTAAATTCTTCGGCAACCGCGTTTTATTTTTTACAGTAATGGGCATTTCACTATTAAAAATTTGATTTACCCCTCTTCACTCCAAGTTTGCCAATCCCAAGACAAGTATCCGTATTTATTTTAATAATATTAGTACTGGACAGAAGAGCCACCAGATTTCCAAGTTTACTTAGTGGCAGAGTTTCGTTAGTTGTCAAGTCACTACTAACCTTTCTATAGATATCTGCTTATTTCGTTTTGGCGATCTTTACTTCGGGAAAATACGGTTCTATTGTTTACTTCTGTGTTATTGTTTTTTATTTACCGTTTATTAATAATTTTCTAAAGTTGCTGCATGCAGTCACTGAAGCCCAGAAATAGGATGAAATATTGTTCAACTCCCTTCAGACCTAAATTATCCAGTATAGTATATGCAAATGCTTCTTTCAGACGCAGCAATAGGTACAGGATCATCCATTCGACCACCTTTACGTTCTTTGGTAGCTTTCAGACGGCTGTTTGCTATTTCCTCATCAATAAATAAATGGTTTTAATGTTGTTTACGGAAGCTGAAACTTTACAAAAGGTAAGAGGTGCGCAACTGCGACGGACCAATCAAAACATGCAGTCTACAAAAATTATCGACCGCATGATTCAAACCCCCAGTCGGTACCCGCAAAGCCCAGCTGTCTACGCTAGCAGACTTGAAGGCAAGAAGAGTCCGATAAAGAAGGCTTTGCATAATGGGCCGAGAACTAATTGCTATTCATCTAGGACAATGCGGCGTTCAACTGGGAAGCGCTATATGGGAGCTCTTGACGTTCGAACACGGTCTGAACACGGAAGGACAGCCAGTGAACAGCGCACCAATAAATGCGTTCGAGCAGCCCGAGTGTTTCTTCTACGAGGTCAAAAGCAGATATGTGCCCAGGGCGATCATGGTTGATCTGGAACCAACAGTTATTGGCAAGTCCCAATTCGTAAATGTTTGTGTCCTTTGAAATCAGTGAGAATGACCGGCTTTGTTAAACAGAATCATTAACTGACAATGTTGCGGTTACTTGTGCCATGCAAAGTGAGCCAGTAGGTGAAATTAACATCAACAACGTGGAAGCTCTTCTTGTCTATGACTGTTGATCAGTGGCACAGAATAATAAAAGCGAATGGAATTTAGCAATTAATAAAAGGAGTGACAGACAAGGGAAAACCGTTAGCTTTGGAACCATTCAATGCCCTCTAGATAAAGGTAACTGAAACCAAGAGCTGAATGTGTTGAACAGGATGTTTCGATGAGTCGACCTGGATCGTTAACTACATTTAAACTCTAAAGATAGGCGAACAGTCTTAAAATGAAAGGACTAGTTAGCTCTAAGCTCCCTCTTAAAACAGTGGAAAAATATATTGCAAAGCTAGGCTGTAAACGTTTATTCCAGGGATGGTTCGGGTGGAAAGTTTTAGTATAGAAGATAATCGATATTAAGGATATATATGAACGCTATTCTCCTCCCTAACGAATAAATAAAGAAATGAGAGCATTTTTTTGTCTGTCGTTTCCCTATCCTCCTGACAAAATTTTGAAAATAACGCTGACACTTGTACACATGGAAGTTTGAAATGTACCGTCCTTCCATACCGTACATCTCGTAGTGGAAAATTATGGGAGTTTGTTCCATTGCCTGTGTAGCTCTTTCAAACTCCAGCTTATAAATCCTGATGAAAGCTTATTATCTGGTCGAGTAGAAATTGTCTTGCTCCGAAATCCAGCGCGGACAAATGCGCTACTGGACCTTTATGTATGCCTGAAAAAAAACGATCACGTCCTCTAATGTAACTGACACATGATTTTGTGTATTGCACTCATTTCTTGTTTTTAGACGAACTACGGACTGGAGCTTACCGACAGTTTTGGAACCCAACCTGCCTCATCAACGGAAAGGAAGATGCAGCTAATAACTATGCTAGAGGTCACTTAACTGTCGGCAAGAGCAAGATGGACCTGATTGCGGAGGAGGTTCTCAAGATGGTAGAACGCTGTGATTCCCTGTCCGCTTTCGAGATCGTCCACTCTTACGCCGGTGGCACTGGATCCGGCCTGACATCCCTGGTTGCGGAACATCTGACCGACCAATTCGGCAAAAAATTCAGATTCACGACTTCTATTTTTCCATCGGCTGCCTACTCACAATCAACTGTTGACCCTTACAATAGCATTCTGTTCACTCACGCTGCTATGGAGACCATCGACTGCAACGTGGTCATGGATAACAAGGCCCTCTATGATCAGTGCGTGAAGAATATATGCGACGACAAACCTTCACTCTCACTCATCAATCGAATGGTAGCCTCCGTACTGAGCTCGCTTTTTCTCTCCCATCGATTTATTTATACCGGGTCACAGAGAGCCGACTGCGCTGAGCTGCTTACTAATCTTATTCCTTATCCTAGAATTCACTTTCCGATGGTGTTCTACAGTCCATTTGCCTCACGAGACCAACTGACTCACGAACAAGTTACGATAAAACAGGTTACAACTGCTGCCTTCACTCAGGCCGCTGCAACCATGGACACACCAATTCATGACAAAGCCTTCATTTCCTGCGCGATGCTCTATCGAGGAGCTCAAAGTCCCAAGCTAGTCTATGATGCTTTACAGTACGTTAAGGGTCCAGCCTCTCGGATGCTGAACAGCTTTGTTGAATGGTGTCCTTCAACCTTTAAGATTGGTCTTAACAGCATGCCACCGATTGCCATGCCCACGGAAGCAATTGCTCCGTCACCACTCTCGATCTGTATGGTGGCTGGCAACGTTGCGGTCGCAGATGCCTTTGCTGTCAACAATGAGAGGTTTGACAGGATGTACCAGAAACGCTGTTTCGTACACTGGTTTGTTGGTGAAGGCATGGAGGAGACTGAGTTTGAGGAAGCACGCGACGAACTGCAAACACTGCACGATGACTACAACTCACTTGTCGCCGTCTCTGGTGAGGACGCGGAGGAGGAAGAGGAGGGCAACAACGCCAACGTGTCACGTCACAACTCATCAGCATTGCCGCCAACTGGTTTCGGGAGAGATAACGTGAACCAGAACAACCGCGTCGTCTATGAACCTCGTATTGGTCGTGTCATGCAGGTTAACCGATCTGCCTCGCGTGACGGAGGTTTGCGCTCAGGTTCAAGGAGCTATCGAGAGAATGCTGTTATTCCCCAGCCCTCGGCACGAAATATAGCACCACCCCAGGGTCTTTTTGTCACGCCGGAGGTGCCTGCGGCTACAAACAACAACTGGATGCAGCCTGGACAGCGGGCCACACCGCGCATGCTGCCACTACCTCGAGATGAGCCCCCTAGTGTGGCCTCTGCCGGTTCTGTGGACCGTTACGACCACCGACAGTTTGATGTCTCCACTGACACTCGTACGAAGGAGCGTAACTGCAACAAACCACACTGCTCACGCGCGGACAGTAGCCTTGCTTCTGTCGCCACCCTGCCAATTGCCGTCTACAAGGATAGCGACAGCGTCTGCGACAGCTGGGATCAAGACAGCTGTTTCGACGAAATGGCACACCGTGAATCTGTTCCGCCTGCCTCCCGGTGGAACAATTCACTGGTCTCAGTGAACAAGACGCCAATTCCGAGCAGGTCCTACTGCCACCAGGCTTTTGTAGATCAGGAAGACGATGACGCCAGCGAGTTCCTACAGATGATAAGCCAATCACAGTCGGCGGCGCCACGCGTCCCACGGCGTAGACGGCAAGTGTCGCTATCGCGGTTGTCTACCACGAGCTACTTGCCTCCTGCTCATAGTCAGCCAGGTGGTCATCCGCCTGGCGACAAGTTTCAAACGCACGTGCCCAGATGTCGCAATACGAACACTCATTACGATGGACATGAGGGCAACTATCGTGGCTGCACTTCCGTCGCTCATGTAGAATAGAGGGACCTGTAGGCTCAAAACTCCGTGGCCCATTGACAGCAAACACACACGTACGCTAGGACCGACGTACTGTAAAGCATGGCCAGACTGCACATATATAAATGACTCACTTTCCTTACCCACGCACTATTGTCGCGTCGAGGCTGTAAGTTGACAAGCGTACGGAACTTCGGCGGTCCTGGTGAACTCCTACCAAATTGCAAAGGATCCTAACTTTCAGCATATGCCTGTATCTTGGTCTCCCTTCACTACGCCCTCGTGTACATTCAACTTCCTGTGACCATAAAGTTCAATTTTCGGCCCATAGAAAGCAACGCTTGGGTAGTTTTTCTCCGTGACCATTGGAAAATATAAAGTGGAAAATATAAAATGGTCTCTAATCCTTCTGTTTTCTGTCTTCCAGTCACCCCAGCCGAGGCCTCATGTTTCAGTTGGTGCATCAATGAGGTTTGTGCCGTCTTCACCAACCGGTTTTTTAAATATAGGAAAAAAGAGTTTTGCACGTCAAGAAAAGGGGGCATTTCTTTAACTATCACATAAATCCGCCGGCTTTCTACTATCGTGGCGCATTTAGAATTGCCGCACTGTCCTAAGAAGACTGAAATTGTATTGTGGCCCGACAAAGATGTGGTCGTTAAGGGTGCTATCAACGTCATCATTGCCACCTTTGTCTGTAACGTTATAGCCATAAGCTCTGTCGTCGCTGTTAACCGGACAACTGACCCATGTGGTTTCAACGGTCCATTATTTATCCTTTCATCAACAGAGTCAAAGAGAAGAAGTAGATGAAGGGAGTTAAGTTTGTTTTTACAGAGCAAATTCAGTTGTACAGGAGGCTGCCACGCCACCAGGATCTGTCAAAATGAGGAGACAACTACAAAAAGAATCATGAATGGCTCCTATATAGAGATTAACTAGTTCCATTTTGTCAGGAAAATCGATGCACCACATTTAATGCGTCTCATCGTCCTCGCCTGTGCATCTGGGTTTTCCTGTCACTCCGGGCTTGCTAAGTGCGGGGAAGGCCTCTGCGGTGTCCGCAGTAACTTGTGCTGGTAATGGAGGCAGTGGAGAATAACAGTTAGTTAAGGCGCAGATGACTAACTGCGGCCAGCGCGGAGACGGTTACGAACAGATTTTACGGACAATAAAGATGATAACACCAGAAACGCGGAGTCCGCCTATTGAGCTAACTGGTTGGTTCCCAAGCCCTTAGCAGCGACGCACTTATAGACCCAAACGATTCTGAGTAGTTGGATGAAGGGGATCATAGGAGAAGATTAAAATTAAAAAGAGACAGTTGCACAATCTGTGTAGGCTTGGAAATATCTGCTAAAATTGGCGATACAGGGGTGTAAACGGTGTACGGTGAACATGCGCCTTCAAAATGCATATTGTAGACGTTCTTATGTGACATCAAACGAGCGTTTTGTTCATTTCTAATGTTCTACTTTATCTCCCCTTCTATTTGATATTTAATTCTGTTGTGTTGCCACACAACCGTTTTTAGAGCGAAAAGTGTCGGAAACCACGTGAAGGGCTGTTAGTTAGGTAGGAAGCCCACTGGCGACGCGTATTGGTATGTCCTACAGAAACGGTTGGCATTAGACTAAGCAGACTGATTATTCTAATAAATACTCACGGTCGGAACATTAGCAGCAAAAACAACTAGAATGTAGAAGGTAAAAGAATCCTAGTATACTACCGTCTGAAGAAAAAAATTGCGTACGGTATATCTTGAAGCATTCTACACGGTCATGCCACCAGATGCCTCCGAAAGGCAAGCATGCGAACCGGCCTATTTGAAGAGGAGACAACGGCCCACAATTTAGTTTGAACACCGTTTTTGTGAAGAGAATGATCTGCTCTTGATTGCGCTTGGTGTTCAGTGCGGAGATAAACGGATGAGAGTGAGAGGTGCTCGCTGTTATTACTCCTCACGGCCCTTAAGTGACACCCGACCCTCATCTGTAGCCAAAAGGGCAACTACATCCCCACAACTGTCATTCAGCGGTGCGCCAAACCAGATGACGATGTGCATCGCGTGCGCGTCTTCATTTTTAGTGAGTCCTGAACAAATTCTCGTCCTCCCTCTCCGCCAAAAGCCCTACAGGGAGGGCGACACGCAATCCCGTAAGCGGTGCCGTACAACTTTGGTTGTATTCTCACTAAACAAAAGCCAGGACCCACAGTGGACTTCGAGAGCCTTTTGGGATGAATAGGGAGATTTATTTAGGCGTAGCATTACTTAACCCCTCTCGAGGGAGGGGATTTGAAATGTGCCCCAAAAACCTGCTGATAGAACACGCCGTCGGTAAGCTGACCGTAGCTTGAAGGCGCAAAACATAACGTCGAAATAAACAACCACTCGTTCCCACAACCTGCCAGTGATATTGCTTACAATGGCAGCCTGGAATGCCTGCCGCCTTTTAGATAATCCAATGTTAAACCGTCCGGAAAGGAGGCCAGCTCTGGTCGTCCGATACAAGAAGGGCATTACGGCTTCCAGTGTGACCCATTTCTCCGAGTAGGGACAACTGGCGAAGACGATTGCGGCATGCATCTTCCTTTGAAGCGGACGTCCAGAGGCAGAGCGATGAGACCCCCGAGTCACTTTGGTAATCAAGATCGACGGTGTGAGGCGGCAGACCAACCTCCTCAGGGCATCACTGACCGTCTCATGACCTTGCACCTGCTTCTCTCCGGTAGCGGATTCCCCCGGACACTAGTGACTACGTCCCTCCCCCAATGAGCACCTCCGATGCCGCGGATAGCAAGTGCTGGGAGGACCTGCATGGCCTTCTAGCGACTCTGTCGCAGGTAAACTAATTAATTTTCTCCCCTGTCTCAATGTCTGTTTAGGTACATACCATGCTACTTGGACGGACGTTCTAGGCTGCCACGGGATGGGCAGCTGCAACAGTAGTAACTTTCTCCTGCAGGTCTGCGTAGTTAACCAGTTTCTCCTAGCCAACACCTGCTTCCGCCTTTTCATCATGGATGTAACCTGGTTTGGATCAGTGGCAAATCCTGAGTTACGTCCTCCTCCGTAGACGTGTTCAGCATGACGCGTCAATGACCAAGGCGATGTGTAATGCAAACTGCCGGACGCACCACTGCCTTTACTTTTGCAATATGGGACTGTGATACGGTTGACTGCCGGTGAGGTTTTAGCAATCACCTGAATCTCCGTCTGAAACAAATGCAAGATGTGGAAGTGAATGCCACTGTTGAAGCACAATGGAGTCAACTGAGGAACACCATTTCCTCCACTGCCCTGGATGCCCTTGGTAACGCACGGTAACAGCACTAGGTCTGGTATGGTGAGAACGGCGAGAGATCTATGATGTGTCCTTAAAGTAAGGTGGGCTGTACTCACCCACCTCAGAGCTGCAGCAAAATAAGTGAATTTCTTTCAACTTAGGAGCCTTGTGCAGAACCAACTGGGGGTAGTGAAGTGCCTGAATGACTAACCGTGCTGAAGAAACATAGCGATGAGTGGATAACGATTAAATGAAGAATTTATTCGTGTCCATCAAGGCTGTCTGTGACCCCAAGCCAATAAAACTGCGTCGCTACTCAGTGCCGCTGAACAACCCTCCGGGTTAAAAAACCACAAATTCTGAGACACTGAACTACGAACTTCAGAGTTTTTCACAGCCGGTCATCCACAGTTTCCTACGAAGCCATCAGAAGACTACATGAGACGAAGACCAACGCAGACCTTGAACTTCCGACCTCACTAAATGAGACTATCAAGACTGTTCAGCAGGCGTCCAGTGGCAAAGCGTCAGGTGCCGACCCACCTCTTTCTGGAAATTACTGATATTTCAGCCCTCTGCTCGTAAAAAAAAACTCGCCTACCCAATCTAAGATATGTGGAGGCAAGGAAAAATTCCCTAGGGCTTTAAGGAGGTCACCGTTATCTACCCGTATAAACGTAAGGAAGAGCAGCAACTCTGTTACAATCGCGGAGGCATCCCTTTCCTCAATATCGAGGGTGAAATCATCACACACGTTTTACTCAATAGCCTGAACCTTCATGTGGAGCAAGAACTTCACCCCAAAAGTTAATACGTAGTTCGAATGAACCGCGTAACCATCGACATGGTCTTTGATACCCGCCCACTATAAAAGAGATGTCATGAAATAATAACTAAACACTACAAACCTCATAAATTTCACGCGGAGCTTCTGTACAGTCAACCGCGATGCATTCTGGATGGGTATGAAGCTAAGCTGTTCAGAGTGTTTTACACAGCCAATACGACAACTTTACAATGCAATAGGGACTCGCATTAGGGACAGTGAAGCGTTCAGAAAGCCTTCCCAGTGAAAGTTGGATTAGAACACGACTCTGTCATTGCTCTCACCCTTTCCGATCTCACGTTCTTCCTCATGCTGGTGGAGGCATGTCGTGAAAGGTGGGAGGAATTGCCGATACAAGTGAAGATGCGAGTTCCAGGAACTAGTTGATCAGAAGAAGAAGAAGAAGAAGAAGAAGAAGAAGAAGAAGAAGAAGAAGAAGCGATCGCTGGAACAAGGGCTTTATTCGCCTGACGTTTCGGATTCTCACTTGAACCCATCGTCGGTGACAGTGGCAGAAAGGAGTGACCCGTGCACAGGAAGTTGCAGTATTTATAGGGTGTAGTCGCTATGCTATCGCATACCTATAGCAATTAACCGCGCTCCCCTTCATGAAGGATCGTTGCTCACTGGTGCGCTAATTGCTTGCTGGCCGGCATGCCACTTGTTAATTACCGAAATGTCATCATTCGTGTTGATGGCTGGCGTGATGATTGCTCGGCCATCTGGCTCACCGGTTTGCACGCTCCCCAAGTGGTCAATTAATTTGGCCAGCCTATGCCTCTGCACGGAATATGGAGTGGGGATGTCGTTGTACCTGTTGATAGACTGAGGTCCCGTGAACCATGACTCAAGCAACTCGCGGCTCTCACGATTGTCGCATCTCGCGAGAATTTCGACCTCATTGAACTGGA